CAACAAGGCTCTTTGTCATTTTGCAAAGTTTATTTTTTCAATTTTTTTTAATAGTTTTTGTCTTTCCATTTAAATAGTTTCAGTCATTGCCTTGTGGTTTTCTTGTTTCTTGTTACTTCATTTTGAATCAGTTCATTCCATCCATACTTTCTCTGTATTTTCTGGTCTGTATTTCTGTAAATGTCTTTCTCTGAAATCTTTCCATGAATCTCTCTATATTCATCAAGTCCATCATTTCTTAAAGCACAGTAATGTCCCATTACATTCATGACCACAATTTGTTTAGATATTTATTTCCCTTTTGATGGTCATCTCCTTTGTTTACCTTTCTTTGCCACCATAAAGGCTGCTACCATGAAATTCTGGCAATATTTTGCTTGATATTTTTCGTTTGATATTTTCCAGTTGCATTTTAATCTGGCTTAGAACTGTTGAGGGTAGCCATGTGAGCTAGGTCACATGCTTGACATCTCCAATCTGGTCTAACTCAGACCTGAACCAGAATTCTTTCTATAAAATCCCCAGCAAACAATCATTGGCAGGGGGAGGGGAGGCATTTCTTTATATAGGTGGCATTCTTGGAATATATACTTAGCAGTGGAATCTTTAGGTCAAAGGGTATGGTACCAAATTTAGCTGAAAGTCAGTGTAGGATTAACTTTCTTGAACCTTCTATAATTTTTTCTTAAATTTTTTAAAGCACAATGATAACACTGTAGAGGCTTTGCTGTTTTACACATCTCTGGTGTTCCTGTAAATTCAATTCCCACTATAGCAGTATAAATGAATGAGGCAGGTACGATCTCGCTTCGATTTTTGTGTCCTCGAGTCTGAGTTCATCTTTCAAACTGCACTATCCGCTTTGAAATCCATGACTCAAAAGAGCAAGATGGTTCACTCAACTGTCACCCTTCACTGATTCAGGGAGATTTCCCTTTTCTTGTTCTGACTGCTTTAAATCATCTTGAATCTAAAACATCATGAATATTTTAATGCTGTTTTCATTTTTAAAAATTCAATTCAAATATATCAATGTATATACAACATACACACATATATGTATATATACACATAAATATATAATACGCTCATCATGTGCAAAGCATATTTTAAAGTAAACAAATGAAATCTAAGAAGCAATGTACAAAGTTTTATTGCATTTAACTATTTTTAAAATCACTATGACCATAACTCATCAAAGTGAGTTCACCAGGAATGAAGTATATACAGTTCATTTCTATAGTGACCCAATTATCCAATCTGCATACAGGAATGGAAATGATCAGGCTTGATGAATGTGGTAAAGATATAACAGAAATAGCAAGAGAGAAAGATTCAAATAAGGAATCTCAGCAAAGCCTAGAGGGGAAGCCCCTCAGTGAAAACATAAAAATGAAGTTTACTTTAATGGGAAACTATACATTTTAACAGATCAAAACTGTTTTGGCAATACTAAGGTCCTTATAGTCAAAGCTATGTTATGGTTTTTGTTTTTTTGTTGATTTTTTCCCCCAGTAGTAATGTATGGCTGTGAGAGTTACACAAAAAAATCTGAGCACCACAGAATCAACTCTTTAAATCGTGGTGCTAGAGAAAACTTTTCAGAATTTCTTGGACAGTAAGGAGATCAAATCAGTTAATACTTAAAAAAATAATTCAGGCTATTCACTGGAAGGCGAAATACTGAATCTGAAGATTAAATATTTTGGCCATATAATGAGAAGATAGGACTCACTGGAAAATAGCCTGAATTTGGGAAAGATTGAAGGCAAAAGGGAAAGGGGATAGCAGAGGACAAGATGAATAAGTATCTTGGAAATAATGAACACGAATTTGGACAGACTTTGAGTGATAGTGAAAGATAGAAGGTCCTGATGTGTTATGGTCCATTAGGTCACAGAAGCAGACATGAATGAACAATGAGAGAGAGAAAGAAAGGGAGAAAGAGAGAGAGACAGAGACAGAGATGAAGGGAGAGAGAGACAGAGAGAGAATAGTAATAATATAAAGAGTAGATATAGGCATAACATATAGAGTAAAGGAATTCCAAGGAATCACTGAATCTTAGTAGTATTTGAAGGATACATGGGCAGTCATGTGATCCAGTAGTGAAAAAATCAAATAGAAACAGGGGGCACTAAACTGTACATAAGAATCCCTATGGACTAGGCATTGACTTAGAAAACCACATATTAACATCATCTATATTTTATTATATTTAAAATTGTTTTGTTTGATATTTTTTAATTGCATCTTAATCTGGCTTAGAACTGTTGAGGGCGCCATGTGACCTAGGTCACATGTTTGACACCTTCGATCTTGTCTAACTCAGATCTGAACCAGAATCCTTTCTATAAAATCGCCAGCAAACAATCATGTAACTATTGCTTGACACCTATAAAAAAGGAAAATACATTCTCTCTTGAGGAAGCCAATTTCATACTTAGATAATTCAATTCATTGAGTTTTTATTTTTACATTAAGCCTAAATTTGCCTCTTTATAAATTCTATCCATTGCTCCCAGTTAAATGTATTTCGGGGTAGCATTCACTTGTTGTAGAAGATTTCTGCTACCTCTAGTCAGAGAGTATTTCTGAGCATCAACAACAGGTATATGAGTAAGCTATACAGAAATGGTTAAACTATTCCTATATCATAATTATAATGTTATTGCTAGAATAAATCTTTGAGTTTATGCCTAAATTCAATGCCCTTGTTATACAGATGAGGAAATTTAGAACAGAGAAATGATGTATGACTCATGCAAGCTGACTCAGCTACTTACATATCTAACCTAGGACTGGAATCCAAGTCTCTGACCTTTTCAATGCACTGTTCCTTCCCCCATTCTAGGATACTTCTGTAGCTGCTTAATTATTACTTAATTCTAGTCATAACTTGGTAGATTCATTCAGTAAGAATGAGTCTTACTGACCTATTTTAAGAGTGTAACACAATCATCTCTAAGATCTAGCCTCTGATGTTTTCTCATTATTGATACCAAAGAGGCAGAGAAACAGCCTTAGATGGAACCCTCCTGTAAGAAACTCTTTCTCTAAAATAAACAAATTCATCACAAATATGTGACCAGTCTGCTTTTGTATTTGAATTTGAAGTCTTGCTTATCAGACGTTTACACACATTTCTTAAGTCAATAATATTATTAGGTAAGAAAAGCATAAAAGACAGTCTATCTACAAAGGCTTTTTAATCCAATTAGGATACACAATTGAAAAAAAAAACATGAGGAAACAGGTTAGGAAGACTTAGATGAACTGATGCAAAATGAAGCATGCAGAACCAAGAGCATGCTATATAAAACTTAAAAGACATCAGAGCTCAGACTAAATACAATCCAAAGGACCAATGTTGAAACATATTTCCCTCCTCTGGGGAGAGTGGCAGTGGAATACAAGTATGGAAAGTTACAAAAGCTGTCAAAATCAACATGACAGCTTTTGCTTTCTTTTGCTGTTTTTCCTTATTATAAAAGAGGGCTATAAGGGACGAAAAATTATGAGGGCATGAGATTGAAGCAAGAAATATCAAAAGTACTGTTTAAACAGAAGACATTGTGTGAGGCAGAGCAGTTAAAGTTAATGTAGTTATACACGCAAAAAAAATGAGATTTTATGTGTGTGTGTATGAATAGTGCTTTGAAAACCTTAAAGCATTCTATAACCAAAAACTTACTGGGGTCAGGGTACAGTGTGTCCCACTGTGACATCAGACTAATGTGAGCTTGAAAAACTCTACTACAGGTTGGCCACAAATAGTCCCTATGAACTTTAGGAGCGGCAATGTCTCTAAATTTGCTCATTCATGTTTCTTTTGAAATATGTATGTATGCATGTATTTATGTAGATATGTATGTATTTGTGTAGATGTATGTGTATGTGTATGTGTGTGTGTGTATGATGTTTGACAGTGGAAAAGTCATTCAGCTTTTCAATGACCCCAGGCAAATTTCCAATTTAGCCAAGTGGCTGATCTCCATTAGTGGAGACATTTTCCATGTTAGGAGGTGGCTACCCTGATGAAATCATAGATCCAGGCCACCATCCCCTTAAAAAAGTCATCATAGCAAGTCACCATCAATGTCTTACATTGCAGACATCATCAACATAGAAAAAGCCTATCTATAGGGCATAAAGAACCACTCACCAAATGACAAAATCTCAGCCCTGGAAGGGATCTCCAAGTCCATGTAATATAAGTTAAACCGTAAGGATCTCCAGCAATATCCCCAATAAATATTCATCTAGCCTCTCTACGAGTACCTCAAGTAAAGAGAAACCCATCACCCCTTGAGGCAAGATATTCTTTGTTTGGAAAACTCTATTAGAAGTTGTTTCTTATAGTGAACTCAAATCTATCCCTCCACAGTTTCTACTGCCTCGACCTTCCAAAGAACTTTTATTTCAACAGAGTGTATAATGCCATCCAAAATTTGCTCTTCTTGGGAAGGATAACAGAGTTATCAATTTTGGTCTTTGGTGGATTCAAATAATGCCATTCTCAGTTCAACTTGTAATCAGCCAAAATATTAGAACAATGTTGATACATAGATAGATAGATAAACAGACAGACAGATTGATTGATAGTTAGATGTATATGTTAATCATCAGTCATGGCACATTGTTAGACTTAGAGACAAGAAGAGCTGAGTTCAAATCCAACCTCAAACACTGTGTGACCCTAGAAAGTTACTTAACATGACATTGCCTCATTTTTCTCATTTGCAAAATGGGGATGATAATAATAGTACCTATCTCTTTGGGTTATTGTGAGGATTTAAAGAATTAGAAAATATTTGTAAATCATTTTTCAAACCTTAAAGCTAGTCTATAAAAGATAGCTAGCATATTCTTAATTTTACGTTTTTCAATTATATCTAAGTGTGACTACCAGAATCCTACCCTTTATCTTGCCCTCATAAGCACTTGTGACAAGAATCATAATGTAAGTCAACATTTTCTACCTTGGCAAATGTACTTACTGCAATTCTCTGCCTTTCTGTTGTCACGAATCACTATTCTTTGGTTGAGAGTACTGAAGAGGGTAGTCCAATTAACTGTATGGTAGTAACATAGGTTGGTGTTGTCAGTTATATAGATGTTTCCTGCACTGATTTCCTTCAAGGACTGGAACTGCAAAGAGGTGATGCCTTGTTGCTTAAGGATAAGCAATGAGAGGCCACTGGAGGAGAAAAGAAAGAGAAATTAATGAATGCTTCTAGAACATTAAATTCATTTATAAAGAAAGATTGTCACATCTTACCTGCAGAAGGAATGTTAATGAAATATAAACAAGAGATGAAGTTCCCAAAATTTTTTTTTATAAGAGCTACTTTCAGAATACACAGTAATTTGTTGGAAAGCATGTTATTCAAGTAACCCAAAGGAAAACAAAAATAAAATTAATTGCCAAGATGCATGACCACTGTTACTCTAGACAATATCATTTTTTTCATCTTTGTATTCCCACTTCCTAGTACAGTGCTTTGCACATAGTAGGCACTTAATAAATTAAATTTATCCGACTGTCTTGAGTCAAACAGGACACTCCCAATAAGACATAGAACCAATGACCATGAAGTCATTGGTCATATTTCCTGCAGGCGGTCTGAAGGCACTTTCAGAATGAACTGGGAACATGCTGGATTTATCTGCATTCTCAGAAAAGGCAAGAATGGAGTAAATGCTTGAGATCACCCCTTACTGATATTAGCTATGGACAGTTTTCTTATAGTGTGACTTTGGCAGTAAGCTACAAATTGCTAACCAAAAGCATTTAGATAAGTTATCTTTTACTCACAAGAAAAGTTAGGAAGTTAATTATAAAAACAGACCTGCTCAGAAGCCCCAACCATGAAGTTTACCATGTGACATCACCTTAAGAGTAGGCCTGGGAAATCCACTAAGACTGAAAGATGACTAAGCAGGTATGAGGAGGAGGGGCAGGAGCAGTTTGCAGTATTCTACAGGAAGTGTGTGACATTTATGTCTCTGAACCTTATTTTTGTTCTTCACAGTATACTAGCTCACACAGTCATGGCTTTATACTGGCCATTCCCCATGCTTGAAATGGGCTCCCTCTCTTCCTTTAAAATGCAGTTCAGACATTATCTTACACATGAAGCCTTTCCTGATATTTTAATTTCTAGTGCCCCTTCCACATTATCTTCTATTCAACTACTGTACAGATGTATATATTCATGTGTAGATGTTTAAATTATCTTTACATTTCTGAAGATAGTTTTATACATAATTTTTCCCCTTCATTAGAATGTAAGTTAATTGAAGGAGAGATTATTTATCTCCATTGCCTAGCAAAAGTATGTGGCACATAGCAGGTACTTAATAAATAGCTATTGATTGATTTATCTAAACAACACTAAAAAACCTGTGGAATTTCAAAATCATCTGCCCCTTGATGGGAATTTCTTGAGGGCAGGATATCTTGAAGGTGTCTTCTATTTGTTTTCATCTTCCATAGTTATTAGCACTATACTGTATAGATAAAATAGAAACTACTATACAGTTCTTATTAGATACACACATACATATGCACATGCACATACACACCTCCCACAACGTCCCATTCCCACACAAATATACTACATAAAATATATATTGAATGACTGTTCATTTTCCCAGAGGAAGATACTAACTTGATCCATTATGTTATTGCTATAATAACATGCTGAGGTACTCTCTAAGATATAAGTAACAAATATAATGTATGTAGAATTAATTGAATTGTAAACTATATCTCAGTGATTAAAATGCTCTGATGATAACGGAAAGAAGATGGATGAAAAGGAATGGGATGTAAGTTTTAAATATCAAGGAATGCCATGAAATGAAATTGAAACACTAAAAACTGATGGCCTAAGAGTTTTCCTCAAAATATAGTATATGTTACTACAATGAAAGCAAGTCTTATTTCAAGGACATTTTTATCATTCTACATTTTCCCTTTCTTTTTTTGGGGGAAAGGGATTTACCTTTCTTTTTTGTCACTTGAAAAATAAACCTTTCTTACACTATTACCAACCAATGGATATTATTTAATAATTTAGTAACAAAAGCATTTTTTTTAACATCTAGACTTTTTTTTTTACAAAAGATAATTTAAGATGGCAATAATTGTCCTTCCAATTTACAAGAACAAGTAGCTCAGGAATGAATAACAATATGGTATTCAATCTGAAACCTTTGTTCCTCTTCACAGTCTGCTAGAGGTGCTGAGTTTTATTACATCAGCAGAACGCTTTGCCTGATTGATAGCATTTGGTTCAACTGAGAGTCAGCATTAGTGGTATATATCATCCAGATGGACTGTTTCCATTGGCTATTATTTTTCATTATGCTGGCTTCCTTTTTAGTCTTTCCTATCAACTTCTGTACAAATACAGCACTTGTGTCAGTGGACTTTGAGCGTTTTTTTTTTCCTGTGAAGCTTTGGTAGAGAAATTTCAGTTGCCATTTTTCAGTTGCCAATTTTGTCTTAGCAAACCCTGCATGCTAGCACAAAATTCTCTCCCTCAAGTTCACAAGTTTATGTCTATGTCTAGCACTATGCACTCCCACACATGTGAAGCCCAAGGTGAGGAGTAAACCCTAATATAGTACCACTTGGTTATCTGATCCATGTGATAATTCCTTCCAACAACAGAGGTCTTATTCCTTACATGGATACCAAATAACTATGTAGTTTGTCTTCCAGCTAGCCTTCCCTTTCCCATTCTTACTCCATGGATAGCCTATGTCTTTTATTTTCCCATCATCCATTTCTCTAATAATTTCCTTAACACTGAATCTCCTGAAAAATTCATGATATGTAATATGTTGAAATATGCTCATATCCACTATGTTCCATTCCATTAGAGACCTTTGACTGACTATTTCAATTACTGATCCACTGTGCTAGTTAAAATGTACCCTCTGGATTTACTGAACTCTGCTTTGATCTCATCGTCATGTACTATGTTCACATAGATCATCAGTTGGTAACGTAACTAACTACTCAAATACTAAAACTGCAATTCCTGATCCAAATGTCAGCACCGATGGGTAACTGTCACCCAAATACATCTTTTGATTACGATGAAATATGATGAAAAGGTAGGCTGAAATTTGTGGCTTATATCCTATATTTTCAACCCAGCAAAAGCATTGTATTATTTTAAATGATTTAGGGAGCTGAAAATTCAAGAGGCATATTCCCTACATTCTATAGTCCATCATTTGTGGCATGTTTTTTATTACGAGCTTTATCTCCATGATGGAAAATGGAAAAGCTGATATTTCTAGAGCAGAGAAATCAATGAGACCAAGAGATTTCTGATATTTTACATGAGCCTTTAAGAAATGTATCTACTTCTAGTGAATTCTCAGAGTTCTACAGACTAAAACACAGATATTGAACACATACCTATACAGTACTCTTCCACCAATGGTGACCAGGTTAGAAAAGACACTGAAATCTGTCATATTTGGGGGCCAAGACTGTATGTTCAAGAAACCTGAGGAAGATAAGGGCAAAAAGAAATGTCAGTATCTTAATGTCTCATTCATGGTGAATCCTTCAGATCTTGAAACATGACAGGATCACCTTATGTTGAAGTAACATAATGGCCATGTGAGAAAACCTACAAATAGGTCAAGAACAATTTTGACTGGCAGTTATGTCATTCCAATAATAGGATTTTTCAGCAATTCAAGGGGTTCAGAATCGCATTCATACTTTCTGTGCTGAAATGCATGTCCAAAGAGGGGTAACAAAAAGTACAAAATGCCATGTTTCTGATGTAAATGTATTCAGAAAGATCAGACTTAGACTTCAAAGGTCAGCATAATGTAATAGATAATAAGTTAGTTTTGGTGTAAGTAACAGGTAGGAATGAATTCTTCCTTAAACACTAACTATCTCTTTGAAGTCATTTAACTTTTCTGTGTCTCAGTTTCCTTAAACTTTTTGATTTCACAGGCCTGTGGTAAGAGTCCAATGGAATAATATTTATAAAGCTTACTGTAAGCTTTAGTGTACAACATAAATGTTATTAGCATCATCATTATTAATAATTTTAATAACAATAATAATAAATTTAATAATAATAATCCTCAGCCAGGTGGTACAGTGGATAGAGCACTGGCCCTAGAGTCAAGAGGACCTGAGTTCAAATCTGGCCTCAGACATTTGCTGGCTGTGTGACCTTGGGCAAGTCACTTAACCCCAATTGCCTACAAAATAATGATAATAATAATAATGATAATAATAATAGCTATTCCTAATCTAATGTTTTCCAACATAAAATTTGAAGTCTTGTAGGTTCTTGTGATAATTATAGTTTTAGGGGTTGTATGGTAAAGAGATTTCATTTGAGTAAGAAGGTCTATGTTCAAGTTCTAGCTTTCCAGTAAGAAGTTGTGGATTTGGACATGACATTTAGGTTGTTTGAGGCTCTCTTTCCTCACTTGTAAAATGGGAGCATAATATTGTTCCATCTACCTGATTATTGTGAAGATCAAATGAGATATGTGCAAGTCCCTTGAAAAGTGTTGATTACTATGTAAATGTGAGAAGCTATGACAAAGATGGCAGTGAAGATGATGAGATGTTATACTCTTGCCATACCATCAAAGACACAATATAATTGCAATTGCTATATTAAATAATAATGTATTACAAAAATGTCATTTGGTTATGAGGATCATTTGGCACTTGAAATACCCAGTAATTTTTAATTTTCAACATCATTTTCCCCATTTGCAGAGATTTTCAGAACATATGGACAATATTAGGTATCTGCAACTCTTTATGAAAATGTCATGGTTTTGAGAAGCTCATATTTATTTTGAGAAGATGCTGATTATAACATTGTATATATTTTAAAGAAGAACACCACAGAATAGAAAAAAAAACTATTTTGCATGATAACTTCGTTTATCCATAGTTACCTGTTATTTCTCTGACTGTTCGGAAAATGTTCAGTTTCTCAGGATCCATGGCTTCAATTGCATTGTAAGGATCCCTAAAAGACGAGGACATTCTCAGTGAATGACTCAGGAATAAAATAGTACAATTCTATCACATCAAGAGGTAAACTTGCAAAAACCAAGTCTTTCCATATAACTTGAAAATTCCTATTTGACATGAGGATAACATGTAAGGTGTCTTGGACACTCTGTGGTCACTACTGTCATCCTGAGGGGAAAAAAATGTTAATTTTAATAGCACATGGTAAACCTTCAGCGGTAAAGGGTTTTTTGGGTTACAAAAAATCTCTGGGCTATTTATTAAACATTCTGAGTGCCAATGTGACATAGAAGAAAAAAGATCCTGATTTGAAAGGAGACCTGGATTCAAGTCTGAGCTTTGCCATGCTTACTAGGCATGTGATATTGGATAATTCATTTGGCCTCCCTGGGTCTCAGATTCCTCACCTTTCTAATGAGAGAGTTGTTGAGAGATGATCCCTAAAACCCTTCCCAACTCTAAAATCCTTGATCAGTTTCTAATACAAACTCAATTATCTGTCTCTTTGTCTGCATTTTCTCTAGAAATCAAATATGGTAGAAAATTTGTACATACTCTGTAAAATCTCCTATCAGATCTAGAAGGAAAACACTATGTGAAATGATGTCAGTGCTTTGATAATGGTGAGAGCAATTAGCTATTTGTGACCTCAGATGTAGTACAGATGGCTAATCAAACCCATTATTAGTTAACAATTAATTAGTAGAAATAAATGCAGCTGGGTTTCTAGAGTTATTTGGGATAAGGTTTCTTTTTTATCTATGGGAACCATTATTTGATTAGAAAAAGGAGAATGTTCTTGCCATGAATTATTCTTTACAGAGGCATTTTCCATCCTATCCACCTAAGTACTCATATATTGACTAAAACATGTTACAGGACACCACTAAGTAATCTTAAATAGGCATCACTCTTGTTTATCTGTATTTATAATGCTTGTTAAGGTACAGGGCATTTGAGAACAAAATGCGATTTAACCATATTTATACCCCCAAATAAAAAGAAACTACTTTACTTAATATTTCATCTGTTCCCACAGAGAAAAAGGCATTTCTGTTATGAATGGTATTAATCTATTATTATTATAACCACTCTAAAGATAAGCAGAGTATATTTTCTCATCTCATAATCTTAAGTTAACCTGCAAACATTTTAGACCTCAACTAATATTGGGACAACTAGGCAATGCCTCAGCTGTTTTAACTAATAAAAGTGACATTTCTTTCCTCAGCCAAACTTGATACTGTTTCTGTGCATTGGAGTAAACTGGGAAAATGTTATCAAAATCCAACTTAGGAAACTAGATGTGGTGGAAAACACAACATTCTTGAAATCTTTGGATAACTTGATAAAGTCATTACATACTGTATACACACAAACATACTGTAGCATCAAATAAATTTTCTCAAAAAACACCTGTCCATGTTACTACAGGTAAGCTATGCTAACTGCCCTGATGTTTTGAGACTCATTTCAATGGGATTGAAAGTGGGTTTACTTTTGTAGCCTAATTCTTTGAAAAGAACATATCACATAAGTAATGACCCTGCCCTTTTGATATTTTCTATCTAACCACAGCACTTCATACTGTGCCCTGCAAAATACCTGAGGAATGCTTCCCTCTACCATTAGGTTAACAAATTCTGGTAAAGTAGCTTCAAAAAAAAATTATGGCTAAGATTAGCAGACACCTGGAAGATGTTTCCTATAACTCAGTCACAAATAATGGATTAGTGCTTTTTGCTCATGCACTATTTCTATTTCTCCAGATCTCCAAAAAGGACTCATAAAATGTTTTCTTGACTCTCTCTCTCTCTATTACAGCAAATAGGTACTAACAAAATGTCAAATTCAGGTTGAATAAGAAAGCAAAAAGATTAAAACAACCCTTTATGTAGCTACAAGAATTTGATGGCAACCATTTGTATGCAGAGGACATTTATTTTCTCAAATACTAAACTAAGTTTTTCAACATGTGCACATCTATGAAGTGCTGTACTTGTACACTTTGCAGAAAAATGGAGTCCACTACCTTACTTATAAAATGCTCAACATTCAGCATAGGCGTTGATAAATGGGGTTAATTCTAACTTTTACAATGAGTACATCCAGATTGCCAGAACTTATATGAAGTCTGGAATGTTAGCATAAAGCTCAGGAATCTCAAGGGATTGAATATCCTTCATTTGGCAATTTAGCCTCATAAAAAAAGAAAGTAACAGCTTTCCATTCACAAACTTTTAAAAAGTAACATCTAACTGTCTCATGAAACCCAAATTATATTTTCCCCAATAAAGCACGTTCAAAATTGAATTGAGAGGCATTCTAAAGACACACTGTCAGCTTGCCATTCTATATGTGACTTTACAGTATGCCCTTGGGACCCAAAATAAAGTTAAGATATACTGTATGTGTTGATTTTTATGTTCAATTGTAATTATGCTCAATCCTTACAAAAGTGAAATATTATTTCCTATTCATTCTCTGTCACCATAGTATTGGAATGTCAGACTCCCTATTTTCATCTGTCTGCTAATGACAATGTCTCAAAATTATATATTTTGATAGCATTTTCCCAGTTTACTCCAACGCACAGAAACAGTATCAAGTTTGGCTGAGGAATGAAATGTCACTTTTATTATTTAAAACAGCTGAGCATTGCATAGTGGTCCCCATATTAGATGAGGTCTAAGAAATTCTTGTCTTAGTCCTTGTTTTCCTGTAGGTTGTACAAGCCAATTAACCTCTGTGGGACTCAGTTTGCCTAACAGAAATTAAGATTTAAATGCTTGATAATTTGTAGAGCAATTTAAGGTCCTTTTGAGAAAACTTGATTCAGTTATGTAACATTCCAATTCCATTTTGATATAACTTTATTCTTCTTGTTATAGTTCATAGAAGCCCCTCAGCTATTTTAACCAAGCTACATGATCTTATTAAAAACTGGTTAGTAGCTTATTGGAAATAATTAGAATAAAGCAGTTGATTGAGGTGCCAGGATTTTTCAATTTATACTTTCCTTTAATTTTTACCTTTTAAAAATAATTAAAACAGATTTTTTTTGGAAAGCAAAGAAATCTGCTCCACTGAAATACATTCATGTCTATATCATTTTTTCTCCCAAGATGACAGGAAAGGGCTTCAGAAAATACAGGACAGGCTTATCATTGTGGCAAGAAAATGGGAGGGTGGGTTTTGAGAAAGTAGAGTTAATTTTTTTATACCAGAAAAATATTAGATGTAGTCTTTTTAGACATATGTTTCTATTAATTTTCACTTCAATTCTTCAGCATAATAGCTATAATTAAATACTGACAGTACTTGGAGTGACAACTAAGACTCGTGAAATCTCTATTTAAGAAATATTGTCATCATAAGAGTCACTGGGCTTTAATTTGGTATTTGAAATTCTAGAAAATAATGTTTGCTATTCAATGTGTGGGGCTGAAAACCGGATATTGTCTTTTTAATCCAGTGTCTTAAGAGGACAATTACAATTTCAACAGAAATCCAGAAAGCACTTATGCTTTTTTTTTAATAAAACCAGAAAATACTTATGGTTTATTTCTACTTCATGACCTGGAATGATTTTGAGAAGCATATTTTAAGGCCATTTTTTAAGTCCTCTTACTCTATCTAAATTGATAACAAGGATTAGTTCTATTAGCATGTACAAAAAGTGCCCTTCTCATATAGCAAATTATATTTATGTGAATATACTGCACTCCTGCTGCACAGTATAGTATCTCTCAAATGGGTGTTTCTACTTTTAATGAAGTTGCTTCCCATATATAGGATAAATCCTTTGTGGAAAATTTTGGGGAGGATTTAGACAAAAGTCACACAGGATAGATGAATATGGATGGGTTGAAAATTGCATCACTGGACAAAATATTTAAATCAATAGAGCACACATCAATTTGTCTTTACTACTGAGTACTAATTAACTACTAAAATACTTATGCATATGACTATATATGTATGTACCAAAGATAAATATAATTTCTTGAGCGATAATGAACAATAATGTATGATCAATGTATGGTAACTGAAAATATAAGGCAAGTATTCTTAATCTTTTTTTGTATAGTAGATCCCTTTGGCAATATGGTGAAACTTATAGAAACCTTCCCAGAATACACACACACACACACACACACACACACACACACACACACACGTGTGCGCGCGCGTGTGTGTATGTGTATGTATGTAATAGAAAGAAATGCTAAATTTAATTTAGATGTTAGTGATGTAATTTTCCCCATTCTAGTTCATAGACCCCCACAGATATCTTGTGAGTTCTTGGATCCTAGAGTAAGAATCCACGCTTTAGGGAATCTAGTCAATGGAATCCCCATCTCAGCCAAAATAAAACAGACCTCCTGAATATCACTTGTTCAAGTATCTTACTTCAAAAATTTCCTCTCTTAGTAGACTGACTTTTATACTATGAGAACCAAAATGAAGAGCAAAATACAATTCCCTGTAAGCTAACTCTGTTGGTTAATCACCAGAATGGCATGCAAAAAAATAATATAACAAATTAAACTGCTGTTTTCCAATGTTTCCTTTTGCCGATGGAGTAGAGCTAATTTCATTTATTATTTTCAAGTGTCAACACATACCATGATGTAGATGGATATGTCTTTTAAGCTATTTTAATCCAATATGCAGGGGGAAGTTTTTGTTCAATTCCTAATCATATTGTGAGTGTAATTACAAATAGGGAGTTAATGTAATTCTAGATGTTATAGTTCCACTTGTATGAAAAAAAAATCATCAATATAGAGATCAGAACTACTTTTAACACTTATTCCAACATGCAATATGGGGACCTTATAAAATATTTTATGCAATTAAGTATTTTATATACCAATAGACACACACACACAAGTGTTGCATGTAGAAACATAATTGCTTATTTCTAATGTTTCTGTTGATTCTATTTGGACACGTATTCATTTGTAATGTTACATTGATTTTATTATGATAACAGTGTGTTACACATGCACAGTAAAACTTTAAGTTGTTAGATGTGAGTTGTTTCTTTAACTGTAGCCCTTGGCACTAATATTTTGGGATTAAGCAGTAACATAAACAAATAGATACAACATAAAGTGAAAATGGACGTATTTAATGCAACTCTAGAAGCATGAAATCAGTTGTTTTCCCAGCTAAAACCAGCAGGTGGTTCTATAATGAAGGAGCACAGACACAGTTTCATTGATCACTGAAATTCATTGAACAGATCAGGTACAATAGTTATTGCTTCCCAAGTGAAAGATGCGGGGGGGGGGGGGGGGGAAGGAGGGGAGGAGAAGAGGGGGAAGGGAGAGGGACAGGGAGAGGGAGAAGGAGAGGGGGAGGGGGAAGAGGGAGAGAGACACAGAGAGAGACACACAGAGAGAGAGAGAGAGAGAGAGAGAGAGAGAGAGAGAGAGAGAGAGAGACAGAGAGACAGAGAGACAGAGAGACAGAGAGAGAGAGACAGAGAGAGAGACAGAGAGAGAGACAGAGACAGACTCTGAAGTATAGAGTGATTTTTAAGTAGAAACATTTGAATCACTCCTTCCTGAAAATAATATACTGGCATTTCAGCTTAAAGTCACTTGCAAATTTTAGAAATTTAGAGATTTGTTGATTTACATAATTATGTAGTACTCAACTAGTAAGTTGAACAATCTTTTCATATATACATATATGTGGCGGTTTTTGTTTTTTGCTTTTTAGGAAACCATCAGCATTGTGCTCAAAGTTTAGATAAGGTTCACAATCTGCTTTCCCTCTCATCATTTTTTTTAATGATGATCACCAAACTTCAAATTATGGATATCTTTTGAAACATTTGGCTTTCCTTTGTTGTTAATTAAAACTGGGTGTTTTGGTAGGGCATGGTTAGCAGTGGGTGTAGTTGTCAGTAAGGAGGTGCAAAATTAAGGAAAAAAAATCAGAAAAAAACTATACATATTTAAAAGAAAATTCTTGTTTTTTTAAACAGAATTAAAGGGGATTTTGTTTTTGTTTTGTTTTGTTTTTTAACTATGTCTCCCCATCTCTCCAAGTCAGAAGCTTAGTGTTCACTCATGGGTCAGATCTCACTTACTCAAGCTTTGACTTGCTCCATTTTCAACTTGAGCAGGTCTGCCTTTCCTGCTCCCTGCCCCCACCCCACCCCCACCCTCCAATCCATTTCCATGGACCCACAATATTAGTGCTGGACTTAGGGTAGATGATTAAACCACTTAACCCCTTTCAGCTAAGAATTCTTAACTCAAGTGATTTACCAACTTCGACTTCCCCCACTGGCAGGGATTAAAGATATGTTCCCTCACACCAGACAGAATCACCAATTTTTAAAACTGGAAGGGGCTTCAATAGTCATTTAGTGAATCCAGAACTGAAAAAGTAAGTGGCCTTCATCTCTGATTGAAGATCCTCAGTGAAGAAAAACCTCAAGTCGTCAGAGGTGATTCATTTCCAGTTTGGAGCAGCTCCCTAATTTTTAGGAAATTTTTCCTGACATCAAGTCTACATTTGTGAATTTGCAACTTCTGGGTATTGCTACTGTTTTTTCCCTCTAGAGCCAAAGAGAAGTAGCATAATTTCTCTTCCACATGATATCCCCTTAAAAAACAACAACAACAACAACAACAACAACAAAAAACATCTTTGCCCTTTCTTTCCAGAACAACAACAACAAAAAAAATAGAATGAAGTTTTAGCACTGACCCATGAATACCAGTGACGAGAAAGATCAAATTCCCATTGATCTTGGTACAGTTTACGAATTTGTCAATGTTGCTGGAATCCACAGTCTGAGCAGACATCAGAGTTCCTGTGCCAATGCCATCACATGCTGTATATTAAAAAAAACAGAAATATATGAAACTGCAGTTTTCAATAAGTAGCTTCTCCAATTCTCATTATTTTTATTAGTATTGACAATCATACATTTGAGTAGTAAGTTGAAACAAGGACCTATCAAATATCTGACCTTAAATTAACTGACCTCTTGCTATGAGTTATATTTATTTCAATGAGCTGCAATTTTGTCAATATGGGCATTCCTATTAACACAAATCACAACCCTCTTTGTGACTTATAATAGAGTTCACAAGAGTTGCTTCACCAAGAACACTTGTTATCTTATGGCTATTCTGGGGATAAAACTGTCTGAACCTGGACTGATTCTCAGAAAAATCTATCAAACAACATGGTGCTAGGTGATGGAAATGAGGGAATGAAACTATCTCTATTCTCAACAAACATGCAGTCTATAACTGTGCTCAAAGGTATTCCACGTCTCATGGACCACCCACTAGGTGTGTCTTATTGACGTAATCTTCAAGAGCTTAGGGTCACCTCCACACTACAAAAAGATATTCAAACAGTATTTTAGTGGGGATTGAACTAAATACACACACATCCCCACACACACCTAATCTTCCTACTTAGTTTCTTTAAGGGAATAAATGTCATTTTATCCTCATATGTTCCATGAAAGCTAATTTTTTTATGTGGCTTATTTTGTAGTGATTCTAAGGTTTTCCCTCTTCATCATATTCCATCTCCTCTCTCTGAGTCTGAGTCTTTAAAAGGGGAATTTTCTATGCCTGGAATGCACACACTCCTCATTTTTGCCACATAGAATCTCTCTTCCTTAATTCAAGCACTGCCTCTACATGAAGTCTTTTCAGATTCCCCCAAATATTAGTGCCACTCCATAAGCCCTTTTGTATTTACATTTCTTTTTTTTTTCTTTCTATTTATGTGAGAAGCAGCAAGGCATAGTGCACAAAGAGAAGGCCTCAAATATAAAAGATCTTGATTCAAGGTGCACCTCTGGAATGTACTGGTTTTGTAATTCCAGCAAGTCACTTAGCCAAAGAGGGTTCTCTACCCAGGAGGTGTCCATACTGATAAAAACACAGATCCAGTACCTATCTGTATTTGTTCTCTTTATATTGATTCTGTATATACTTAAATATGTGCTTGTTGTTTCCACTGTTAGCATGCTAGTTCCTTGACAGTAGGCATTGTTTTATTCCTTGGATTTTTATCACCAGCATCTAGCAGTGTCCCTAAACATAAAACATACAATGAAAGCTTAATGAATGATGGATTTCCACATCTGCTCTTAAAAATACATTTTTACTGATTTTTTTAATTTAACATTGCTTAAATTTTCACCTGGATCCCTCCTTTCCCTATGAGACAGTCATCCCATAGAAAGCTGTTTCAACCCCCCCCAAAAAAAGGGGGGGTAAGCAACAAATCAATCAAGAAAGTGAAAAAAACAAATTCAAAAAATCTGAAATGTTCCACACCTGAGGATAACTTTTCTCTACAAAGTAGTGGGACTTTCTCATTTTGATCCCCCTTAGGTGGAATCTGTCCCCTTTCCCAATTTACAAAGCCTTGTCCAATCTTCAAGGGTCAGATAAATCCTACTCCCCCTGACTAGGGGTATTCCATCTGGTTTGAGGACATCCTCCATCATGTGGCACATTTGACACTAATGTAATGCAATGTGCCCCTCCCTTTCCCTTTAAAAATGTGCATGTCTTATATACCTAAATATATATAGTATAGTATGTGTGTGTATATAAATATATATATATATATATATATATATATATATATATATATATATATATATATATATTATATATGTGTGTGTGTGTGTGTGTGTGTGTGTGTATAATATGTATACTGTTGAGGCTTGGTATCATAGAATACTGTAAAATTTACTGATTGATTTGCTGCTTCCTAAATAACTAAATTTTCCCAGTATGTAGGCCACTTTGACCCATTAGATCGTGAGCTTCTTGGGGACAGGAAACTATCTTTTATCTCTTGTTTCTTTTTAGTACAGCACCTGGAATATTGAAGGTGATTAGACTTTCGACAATATCCTGAAGGCACGTGTGAAGAACACGAGGCCTCAAGGCTGCATGTGGCTCTCTAGGTCCTCAATTGGGATCCTTTAACTAAATCTAAATTTCACAGAACCAATGGCCTCGAGGCCACAGGAAATGTATCTCCCCCTTATAGGGAATGCTTTAGGAACCTTAATGTCATTCCCAGGCTCTTTCTAGATACATCACAGCTATAACCTACCTTTGGGACAAATGTCAGTACAAGGTTTACACATTTTAATCCCATTTTCTTCAACCTCCATTTTGGAACTAGGACAAGCCCGCACACAAGAACTGGAATCTACCACAAAGTTATCTGCAAGGAAAAAGTAAAATGTTCAGTAATGATGTTTGGTTGGAAGTTCAGGGGGAAAAGTTTTCTGGCATCTGGAAGTGGTCATGTAAGTCAATAATGTGTATGACTTTTCCCTTATAATAGCTTTGTACTTTTCCATCTATGAACTTAGTAGTTATTTGGGTGGTGCAGTTGATCAAGCACTCTACCTGGAGCCAGAAAGATCTGAGTACAAATCTAGCCTCACATATTTACTAATCTGAGTGAGCCTATGCAAATCATTTGAGATCCTCCAGCCCCAAACTACCCATTTAAAAATAGTACGTATGATAGCACTTAATTCCAAGAATTGTTGGGTGAATAAAATAATATTTGCAAAGTGCTTTCCAAATCTTGACACACTAAAGATATGATGATGATGAAGAAACAGAGAGAGAGAGGGGGGGGAGAGGGAGAGGGGGAGAGAGAGAGAGAGAGAGAGAGAGAGAGAGAGAGAGAGAGAGAGAGAGAGTTGCACTGTCTTGTATCCTGGTCTAAGAATAGGATGTAGAAATGGCTGCTGTGTTGTTTGTTTTTGTTTAACTTTTTTTTTTTCTGATCCCACATATCCTAAAAGCCCTCAGGACAGTGTAAATTTCTTTTACAGGCTTAATAAACTACATGACATTTAGTCTGCGTTTCCCTGCAGTTCCACTTCATTTCATGTAGTGATGCAAGTTTGAAATCTAGAAGTGCTTGAAGTTATTTTGAAACACAAATGAAGCTTAAATTAAACTGCTTTGGATGAAGAGAAAATATTTTATACTCAGACTCAAGAGGAAGTATTTAAAGTTTGGGCTACATTGAAAGGAATACTATGGTAGCAAATTTAGTCATAAGAATTTTCTCTGCCTGTGCATATGAATACACTTGCATGAAATTTCAAAAGACAGTGACTTGGGAAAATTTAATAAAATATCTTATTAAATAATGTAGGTATTATTTAAAGCCAGGTTTCCTCTGGATAGCTCTCCCTTCTGGAAACTTATACCACCAGATGAATAAGGATCAAATGGACCCTGAATGTAGCTTTTGAGAAAATGTTTCAGAATATTTTAATATTCTGTCATTGCTATAACTACCCTAATTTAATAAGGATGATTTGCATCATTATATAAAGAGAAATAAGTAGGAATTTGGGGCATTCAAAAATTATACTGTATTATGCTCAGAAATAGTCTATAGGTGTCCCAGCTCCTGTGTAAAGATAGCTTCTATGATAGCCATTTTGTAGGAAAGGGATATTCCAGACTGAGGATCCTACTAGAAAGAAGCTCCTTGAAAATGGGGACAATATTGTTTCTATTACTGCAGCCCTAATATCAGGCAGAAGATATTTAATAAATGATTGTTGAACTGAATAGTGTTCAGCCTTCTGAGTTCTGGACTTCCTTTACTATAGCTCTTGGTATTTTCATCATTTAGTTTTAGTGAAAAACTCCTCAGAATGTTATGGTCTATGCTGTAGCAGTGTGCTTTTAAGCTCAGCCTGAAGTCCACGAAACAGGAAGATGATAAAATTCCTTTCATATTCTCTCTCAACTTCACAGCTCTCCTTGTCTTGCCCTTTATCACTTCTGTAGCAGAAGGAAATATGACCATTTTCCTGCTTCTTTTCTTTTTCCTTTCAGTGGTGGATTCTCATTCACTAATTCTCTTTCTCTGTCTCTCTGTCTTTTTCTCTCTGTCTCTCTCTCTCTCTGTGGCTGGTTATTTATAAAATAACATTTTATGCAAATTTTTTTTAATTGCTAGAATTTCTGGAAAACTTTCCAAACCTCCGGAAGCCTGGCATTGAATTTTCCTTTCTAACAACTACAAACAATAACAACCTGCCTCAATGAGCTCACCTGACACTATGCACAACAATCTATTCTTAATCCCTTTCCACTGAGATGTGGAGGGAATGGTCAATATTTGTTCTTAGAGATTATTACTGTTTTGTTTTGTTTTGTTTTATTGACTCAGAAGTCAGCTTCCTCTTACCATTCTTTTTATTTATGTTTGTTTTATTTTACATTGTTAATTTAATTTATTGCTCTACTTCTGCTTAGTTCATTATGCATCAATTGTATAAATCTTTAAGTCACTTTATTTAAAAGTGCAAAAGATGCAAAATATTTGCTTTTAAATTTAATTAAATTTAATTAGTTCATATTTTAAAGTGTGCAAGATCGAGGTCCTCAGATACAAAAATGCCTTTAAAATTGTAATTCAAATGATATGTGAACCATAACTAAAAATTATTTGTCACATGAAACTCCCCCCAACACACTCACACAATCCCAGCCCTATTTTTTTTAAAGCATAAAAATCCACATAATGACATATGGTATGAATTGGGGGAAACCATCCTTTATAGAGGCTATTCCCAAGAATTCCTGAGATGCAAAATTCCCAAATGAGGGAAAGGCAAGGAATATGACTTCTTATACCGCTCTGCAGCTGCAAACAGCTGTAGGTATGAAACTTCTGTTTTTCAAATGGGAAACTCTACAATAAACTTGAACTTGCAAAGATCCTATATATACCAAAATATGCACCACAATATTTTTTGGAGACAGAGAGAGGGAGGAGACAGACAGAGACAGGAGACAGAGAGAGAGGAGAGAGAGAGAGAGACAGAGACAGAGAGAGAGAGAGAGAGAGAGAGAGAGAGAGAGAGAGAGAGAGAAAACAAAAGAAAAGAATGTCTTAATTGGATGACAATAAACAAAATGAAGTATATGACTATAACAAAATATCATCGTACCCTGAAAAACAAGGAATAACAGGAATGCATAGAAACATGGAAAAATATTTAGACTAACACAAATAATTAGAACCAAGAGAACAATATGGGCAGTGACTATAATAATGCAAATGAAAATAAAGCTAAACATAGCCAAACTCAGATTAACTGCAATATGTAATCATGTTCCTAGAAAGCAAAAGACATAATGCATTTCTCAGTAGAGAAGGGAGGATTATATGATCAGAATGTTACACAGGCTGTCAGACAAGGTTATTTTGTATATGTTTTGCTTAACATCCTTTTGTTGTTACATGGGTGGGTTCAATAAGGGAGGAGGACATATCGGAAATGAACAACCACAATAAAGATCAAAAAGTGTCAATAAAAACTTTTTTTTCAAAAATAAGAGAAAAGTGAATAAAGTTAAAAACTGGTTCACCATTTTTTCAGGGGAGACGCAATACTACTCCAGATTTTCCAAAAGCTCTTCCCCCAACATGTAAAACCACTATGCCCCCTAGTACTAAAAGAGTTGTAATTGTCATCAAAAGGAAGAAAGCAAACTCCAGCAAAGATTGAGGAATTTTATGATACTGTATTTCTCATGAGAACTGACCAATTTATTTTTGGATTCTTAGTACAGGACCTCATAACTTTTCTATTTTTATTTCTGTTCATTATTATTGCTTAAATGCAGATTTGACCTTGGGAATGGCATGCAGTTCATCAAACATCCTACTATCAGAATTATAAATAAACTATAATATATACGTGGGTTTGTGAGTTCATTAGAGTCAGGTCCCACATTAAGTCAGGTAGCTCTACCCCAAGACACCTGGAATTTCAATTACTTACGTGGGCATTTCTTGACACAGAAGGCTCCATAGGTATACTTTGCATTGAAATTGTGCTCTAGTTGAAAGGTGGTTGGATTGTAGACAAATGTTTGGGGGCATTGGGTGACACATGCTCCACTGTCATTGAAATTCATGCAGGCCTGCAACAGAATTTAACTAGCTTAGAGCATGTCTTGGCTTTTTGAAGATATTTTCATAATGATGCTAATGGAATCCTGCTGGTACTGAGTTTATTCTTGGTTGGGGTGTCATTTTCCCCTCTGTACCTACTTCCCAAACTTTTTCCATTCAAAATTTAAAAATAAACAGTTAATCTTTTGAATCCAACATGTTTTTAGGTGATTATTTCCCTAATGTCTATAAACAAATGTTCTAAATACAGCAATGCTAGAATGAAGTTTTGCTTTGTATTTGTTTTTAATGTGTTGACTCATTTCAGGCTTGATAGTGTGCTTAAAATCAGCCAGCAACAAAAGAACTATTTAAACCACCCACACTGCTAATGCACAAATGATCTGTGCTTTGATGTTCTGACCTTCTGGTCTTGCCTGGCTTTATGGTCTCTCCTGGTATTAGGCCAAATGCCAGCTGACAACCAAGCTCCTAATTATGCCATCAAAGAAGCATGATTTCTTTTGAATAGGGAAAGAGAGCGTTATACTTAGTGTCAGGTCATTTGCCATCTTTCAGGGGTGAATAGCAGGATATTTGGACCTTCTGTTTTCATTTAAGCCTGGCTACCACCCACCACTGATTTTTTTTTTTTAGGTAAGGCAATTGGGGTTAAGTGACTCGTCCAGAGTCACACAGCTAGTAAGTGTTATGTGTCTGAGGCTGCATTTGAACTCAGAGCCTCCCAACTCCAGGGCCAGTGCTCTATCCACTGCACCACCTAGCTGCCTCTCACTCACCACTGATTAAGAAAAACACCTTGGCAGGTGAATATTTTAGACTACAGCTATGATAACTATGAAAAAAGCTAACTATGGAAAACTGGTGATTAAATCATAAAACATACTTGTCTCTTGTCTTCTCATAATGCTATATTTTATTTAAAGCCCCCCCCCAAAAAAAATAGTTCCATTTTCCAAATTATAATATGGTCCAGATTGAAACTTTCACCCTGGTCTTGAAATTATTTTAAAAAATTCTTGATATACCAAAAAAAACATTAATCACCAGAGAATTGTGGAACTTGCTTCAAAAGTGAATATATACTATGTTGTTGTGAGAAAAAAAAAGATGGAAAAATGACTTTTCTCACATTTTACAAAAAGTTTTCACCGTGAGATATTTTAGCTTTTGCAAAGCAGATGTTGTGAACCAAGCAAAGTTTTTCATTGGCTCATGAATTGTTGGTGTGTTTATTAATAAGCATTAATTTGCTGTATTTCCTCAACACATTTGCTACATCCATTGTAGTTTAAGCAAGCACTTTATCACAAACATGACAATTTCCTCATGATAGTCTACCCAATGTATAACCAGAATGAGGCACACGGATGGTATATTTCTCCCTACGATGACACTTTCCAGGAAGAATCTATTAAAAACCAATCTAGAAAACTCAGTAAGTTTTAATTTATAACCACAAAGCTCTCTATGGCCTTATAATTGTTATGCTGGCATATATTACATAATATTATACACTATTTGCCTGGGAACAGAGCAAAGTAGCCTAGAGAAAAATATTAAAGTTTCTAAGTACTGTCCACCCACCAAAGTTTTGCTATTACATTTTTAAAATCTCCCATGCCATAGGCCAAAGTAGAACCCTACATCACTGCAAAATAATAGAGAAACGAGTGATGTGAAGATCAGGGTACAACTTAGCTATAACATTCATTCAGTGAATCAACACCAAAGTATGAAAGAAGCTTCTAGCATGGATGTTGCTTAATTATTATAAAGTCAAAAATTTATAGTGATCAGTGACCCTGGGGGAGAAAAAAAATCACACTTGCAAATTTTGTAATGAAGTATTCTTAGGTAATTCTTGCCCTGGTTCCAATCCACAGACAAATAAAAATCTGCTGAAACACTTTCCTAAGTGCATCTACATTTTGGCTCCTTCCTCCTCATTCAACACCCTACCACTGTATTTTTTTTTTCATCATTACAGACTTACTGTGGACTATAAACCTGCCTGCTGTCTGAAAAATTAATTGTCTTAATTTTAGAACATGGTTTGCAGTGAATTAACTTTTTTACTAAATGGTTTAAAATGATGTGCTTTTCTAATGATGTTTTTGAAGGAATAAAAGAAATTAAGAAATTGCTCTTTTTCAAAATTTACATTATGTATGTGATTTTAATTTTAAACAAATTGGAAAAATTAGGAAAATATGGAGAGCTGGGTTTAACTACAGCTTACAAAATGTTCTCAAGATCAGAGGGAACACAAAGAACAGTATTAAAAATATTAAAGTATAATTTAAAAGAGTTCCAACAACTAGGGGAGTAAAAGTGTCTTCATTTAAGATAAAAATCATACATATTAGCATATAAATGGCTTCAAATCTATTTTTGTAAATCTCATAAATGTTTTAATAGGTATTTCAAGCTGGTAAGACATACAAACTGACAAGAAAAACAGATAAATTCATAAAAATATCTATTAATATTTTGAAATATATTCTGGAAAAATAGTTTAATAATGCAGTCATATGGAAGCATGGGGATTCAAGCTCAAAGATAAAACAACTTTGAATGAAAGCATTTGTTAAAAACTTAGGATAAGATTCACTGAGGCTGAAAACACTCCAAAGGAAAGGATATTACTAGACTTTCTCTCTTCCAAGTGACCAATCAGAATGTCCTTTAAGCCTGTCTTCTACAAGAAGACCATCTTTTAATAGTATATTATACAACACACAAAAGCTCAGTTAAATGAACAGCATACAACAATCCAAAGTAAATAACAGACACTAACTGATAACTCCACACTGAAGGAATGGTATCTTTCTTTCCAATATTGTCATGGATAAGATTTTTCTGATCTTGATCAAATTAGGTTTCTTTCTTTTGATTTTCAGATGTTTGAGCTTCAGTGTTAATGTGCCAAATAAGAAGGAGAGGGGAAGAAAGGGGAAAGGAAGCAGAACTCCTCAACATACAAAGCAGTCTGTGTCTTTAGGTCCTGAGCAGCCTCCAGCACATTCTCGATGGCAGCAATCACTTACATACGGGCCATAGCACCTGCCATCACACTGCTCTGCACATACAGTCTTGGTCACTGCAAAAGACAAAGACATCATGAAAGTCAAAGGCAGGCCAAAAGACAAACATTTCAGTAAATGAGAGATAGGGAGAGGGTCTGAGAACTGTAGCAATAACTGAAATCTATCAGAGATGCTTTACATGCTAAAACAGGGAGGCTAAAGGAAGCTCTATTCTATCATCTTTAAATAATCCATCCAATATAATTTGTATCTTTTTAGAACCTCACAAAGTCTTTATATGTGCTACTGAAATGTGATTTCCAAAGTCATATTCAATTTCAATTCATAGCTAAAGGGCTAACTGTATAAGTGCAAATAACTAGGTCACCTATTAAAATCGATAAGCTTATTCACCTAGGAGTTTTGAGAAGAGTAAGAATAAGAGAAAACTTTGAGAATAAGAGTGGCAGTACAGTATATCAAACAATCAACAAGCATTTAATGTCTGTTATATGTTAAGCACTGTCCTAGTTTGGGAATACAAAACCAAAAGCTAAAATAGTCCCTGCCCTCAAGGAGTTTACAGTCATGCAAACAAGGTGGACTGAGGGCCAGCCTTGGAAACAGGAACACCTGTATTCAAGCCCTACCTCCAATACATGCTAGCTATGTGGCAACAAGCAAGTTACTTAACATCTCAGTGACCCAGGAAAATGTCTAGGACTCTAAAAATACCCCAATATTTGATGATCTATAAAGTTCTTCACATCAATTCCCATGAAACCATAATTTTGAACACAATTCCAAAAGCTTAACAAATATATGTAAGACATATCTGTTTTGTACACCAATGATATAAAGGTATATAAAGGTACAGAGGTATATTTGTACAACTCAGGCTCATAATATATGTTTTATATTGAATTAAATTGGATTAGATGTTCATATCTTCATAACACATTTGTTCAACAAAATTTTGTGATGTAAGGCAACCATTATCTCTATGTATCTATCATTTTCAAAGGAAAATGAGAAACAACACATTTAGTAGAGTTAAGAGTAGCCCCCTGTCTCATGTTTATATAATATGAAATCTATTGGGCTCATGAAAATGAACAGCTTTCCTCAGAAAAGATTAAAAAATTTCCCAAATTTACATAATAAATTAACAATATTTTCCACAAAGTCAAATAAATATTTTTTTTGGTTGAACACCCTAGGGAAAATATTAAAACCAATTAAAGAGTGAATGAGTGATGACAGGAAATTGAGGGGGAAAGAACAAGGTTCTAGGAATAAAGATATATCCAACAATTTAAAAAAGGCAAAGTAACCTTAAATATTTTCTTTTATATTTCAATGCTTTATTTGTGGTTTACATCTGAAGACTTTTCTGTTTGGCTTCAGATTGCTGGTATAAAAGCTTCAAAATATACAATATAATACTCACATGAAAGATATATTGTTCTATTGTATATGATAATATCACTCATATTCATATTTATGTGATCAGAGATTTAGAGCTGGAACATGTAGGGAAATCAATAACAAAGCATGACAAATAGCTCAAAGCAAACCATAATTTGAAACATCAAAATACAATAGGCTTTGAATTGAGTTTCTATCTAATTTCTTAGAGGCAGAAACAAAAAAAGGGCAGTGGACTGAAAACTAAAAAGGCTTGATACTACCCATTACTTTTGCCAAGTCACTTCATTTCCCTGTGCCTCTGTTCCTCTATTTATAAAATAAAAGGGTTGAACCTAAAGATCTCAATTCTAATATAACATTAAATGCTATATATCTATGATCTTTAATGTCAAAAGACTTCAGAAAGTATATAGAACAGCCTGGATTTCTGAAGATGAATTTTATAGTTTAAGAATTCTCAGCTATTTGAATGTCTCATTAAATTCATTTATTTGATCTTTAAGAAGTTTTATATAACTTTGTTTTATACAATCTCCATCTAATTAGCTAATAATCATCCAAATTAAACATTTACCCATGCTGATTTTCTTTTTCTCAACTTAGTGATATGGTTTCTGACTCTTCAATAGGGACTGCAATGCACAGAAGAAATATAATGAATAACATGAATGAAACTGGTGAAGTGGCAAAATGCCATTTTAGAACATTCAAAAACAGTCCTTTGACTTGGCAATAGCTTCTAATTAAGGCAACAGCCAGAGTTAAATAAACAAACCATTAGGTTTAGACTGTTAATGCAGGCACATCCTCCTAATTTGAGTAGAGAATGGGCATTTCACCATGTGTTAAGTAGACATTAACAACATAAGATGTTAATGTAAGGTCAGTCTCAATGTTCTGAATCTTGATGAAAATACCACATTTTAAAGAAGACATATGTATGCATTTTTGTTCCTATGTTAACTTTAAGACGGCTTAAGATTTGTGAGAACTATAAAAAGCAGCATTTTTCCATTATTTAAATAAACTTTTGATTTGCATATGAACTGATAATGATTAATAAATATTGTTGAACAAGACTGAATTATGTAGGTTTTTGTATATGTATACCATAAAAATTAAAATTGACTCAACTTCATTTTAAATTATTATCCATATTTCCTAGAAAAAAGTAAGATCATACTTTTGATACATGCAAACAACGAAAATAACTTTTTAGTAGCATATAATTCTAGGGTTAATGTACATGTTCTGAGCTTAATCTGTGAAAAAAAACGGCCTAATCGTTGAGAAGATAACTAGAACTTCCAGTTGTAGAATTCAAAAGAAGCAGTACAAATTCTGTAACACACACAACTATTTTTTTTCCTAAAGCAGACAATTCTAGATAATATGAATTCATCAAGCTTAATAAATACTGATGAACTGGACTGAATTATGTAGGTCTCTTCTTTTGCATATACATATAAATGTAGATACATATACATACCTATGAATTGACCCTGAACTTTTATAAGCATTACCACATCTTCATATGAAAAAAAATAAGGTAATAATTTTGGCACATGCAAACATTGTATGTCAATTAATACTTTAAGAGACTTCAATATTAGGGTTAATGTTCTTGTTCTGAGTTTAATTTGCAAAAATATCGAAGTTGTTAAGTATCACTCAAGAAAACTAAAAATTGACCCAGAACTTCTTTTAAAAATATTGCCCACATTTTCCTATGAAATTATAAGGTCATATTGACACATGTCAAATATTTTCTAAGACAGTACAATCCTAAGGTTACCATTCCTACTCTCAGCTATGTGAAAATGCCCTAGTAATTTATAAAGAAAACTAGAGTTTCTAGCTGTGATGATTCAAAACAAACACTAACAGTTCAGCAATACACACAACCAATTTTTCTAAAGCATTTGCAGGAAGTTTAGACAAATATATTTCTTATTGTTTCATATGAAATTGGAAAAGCCACATTAAATGAGTTTTTTATGGTTCTTTTTTTCTCCCAAGATTTTACTTCTTACAAAAAAAAAATGGAGACAAAGACCCAAATATTCCCATATATAATGAAATGAATGGACGTGCATCATTCAATGTTATTTTTCTAGTCTGCTTTCACCTTAGGAGCAACATTACTTTTTCATTATTAATAGTATAATATTTTGTGATGATGAGGATGGTTTTAGAAAATCCTAGGAAAATTTGTATGAAATTATGTAAAAATAAAGTGAGTAAAATCAGGAGAAAGAAATTATACAGTAACAATAATACTGTAAAGACAAACAACTTTGACAAATTTAGGAAGTATGATCAATACAATGCAACTAACCACAGTTCAAAAGAACTCACGATGAAACATGTTATCTACCACCAGATACAGGGGTGAAAGATTCTGAATGTAGACTGAAGCACATACACACATATACATCTATACACACATATGTCATAGCTAATATAGGAATTTGTTGAACTATATATAATACATACGTGTGTGTGTGTGTGTGTATATATGTACATATATATATATATATATATATATATAGTGTATATATACACAAACATACACATGTAATCATTGCTCCGATGATTCCAAAATATATTTGTGAAAAATATTTTTTGCTTTCTCAATGTGTGAGGGAAAGGACAAATTCAGAACTGAAAATAAAATAAAGCAATTTAAAAAGACAATACATAAATAAATTAGCATGGCTATGTTCCAATAACACTTTATTATTGACATTAAAATAAAAGTGCTATAATATTTTGGTCAATTTGAAAGAAGCAGGTTTCTACATGAGAATGAAAAACATCTAAGAATTACTAAAGCAGTTCAATTTTGCTTCAGAGGAGATAAAAAGATAGATAAAGCAACCCATTGCCAGGTGTAGATTAGTGTGAATAATTAATCCCAATTAATACAAATAATGAATCTTAAGAAGTGGTCACATGTATTTGAATTTGAAATATTTGAAGTTATAATTATGTAAAATATAATCATTGGTTTCAATCCCAAAGGAGTGAGAATTCAAATAGCATGACATTCTTTTAGGATTTACTGTTCTCACAGACCAGGAGTTACTTCTCTGTGTGTATATGTACATACACACACATATATATATGTGTGTATGCATGTATGTATGTTTTTGTTTGTTTGTTTGTTTTTTGGTGAGGCAATAGGGGTTAAATGACTTGCCCACAGTCACACAGCTAGTAAATGTCAAGTGTCAGGTCCTCCTGACTCCAAAGCCAGAGCTCAAGTATGTATGTATTTGATTAAACATTAGCCTCCAAGAGAGATACCACTTTAACCTTGGGCAAATTGTCCAAAGAAGAAAGGAGAGGAAAAGTCCTTTTCTGAATCTGGAGACTGAGATTTTATCAACCTTCCTTAATAGTACTTCATCTTTTCTCTGAGTTGCTTAGGTAGCATAGGCAATATATATAGGGGTATTCCTTAAAAAATCTCAGTGTCTTTTGAGGGAGGGAAAATTGGAGAGGATGATCTGAGGCATCTAATGGGTTTCGTGAATGTTTTAAAGTATTGTTCTTGATCATGGACTCAGATAAGTCAGTCAGTCAGAAAGAATTGAATAAGCAGTTATTTTGTGCCAGGCACTGTGCTAAATGCTGGGGA